CTATACACTACAAGCAATACCCATTTTGCCCCAAAAATAAATGTCAATTTGGGTGGGGGAAAATGGATCAATTTTCTGGAAATTTTTTCCAAAATGCCTCAGGAGTAGAAATTAGGCTAAACTGAGCTATTTTAGCCCAGAGATAGAAAATCCTCAAACATTCCAAAATGAATTTTTAGCTGATTTGAGACATTTTTATTTTTTGGCTAAAATAGCTCATTTTAGCCTAATTTTTTACTCCTGAGGCATCTTGTAAAAAAAGTGCCAGAAAATTGATCTATTTTCCACCATCCAAATTGCCATTTTTCCTTGGGGCAAAATCGGTATTGTTTGTAGTGATATAAACCTGCCAATCTGAGATTGGTGGGCTTGTTTTAGTGTCTAGTGAACCAGGAAAGGCAGAGGCAACCTCACACATCCCTTTCCGCACTCAGCAAAAGATTCTCAGGAATACTTTTGGGCTTAACACCGCAGCGACAGCTAATTGTCTGTAGTGCTAGTTGGTAAAGGAAGCACTCTTGTATGTGACTCAGCATTGCTGAGGTTGTGAGTTCAAATCTCACCAGGCAAATCCTCAGTTTGTTTTTCTCCACATCTTGTGCTGTTCATATTCTGCGGGATTGTGTGCAATCACGGGACATTGAAAATCGTCACCGTGGACCTCGGCCGTATCAGTCATATGAACATTTCACATAAGTTGTGCAAAAATCCAGCTTGACACATCAATTTCTTTGATTGATGAGTTACAAGTTACACTTCACTACATGTGTAGTGTAACTTCTAATGTAGTGTAGCGTAACTAGGCATGTAGTGTAGCGTAGTGTAGCTTAATTTGGTATAAGTAACGCTAAATGTTAGCGTCAACTCAGTTACGCTGCTGGTTAGTGGAAGTTTTGTTAGATTGGTAAAAGTTACGCTACTTGCTAGTTTAGTGGCAATTATTTCAAGCTAACACTAAAAAAAATTGAGGGAAAAATTTCACGCTACGCTGGCAGTTAGCTCAGTGGTGTGTAGCGTGAACTAACACTACAGGATTTCCAGCAAAAAAAAGCAACTACGCTAACATGTAGTGGCCAAATAGCGTAGTGTAGCGTAGCAGCCCACCGTTGGTCATGGGTTGGCTTGGGTTGACCCATGGGGCTACCATTTTTTTTTGAGGCAGAGGTTTTTTTTAGGCAGAGGGTTTTTTTTTTTTGGGGGGGGGGAGGGGCAAGATGCCTTCTTCTTTGCATAATTTAACAAGTGTATATATTTGGAGAGAAAGATTAACACTAATGCAAAGGTGAATGGAGAATAGAGAGAAAAAAAAAAAGGACA